AGTTTCATCATAAGTATAGGCAGTTAAAATAAGATTTTAAAACAGAAAATATTTTAAATTCATGATCTCAAAGGTTTTTCTTTTAACCTCTTTTGTTAGCAATGGTCTTAACTCATGATTGATGTCAAAAACAAACCTTTTGAAATATTAGCTGTTTAGCAGCAGAATGAGCAAAACTTTAAAAGCATTTTCTTCCACAAATAATTAACTATAAATATTATACAAAATGTGACAAAAGAGTCTAACTGCTATTTGAAAATGTGGATCCAATTCTGTGGATCCAATTCTGCCTTAAGAAAAACTGACAAAATAATAATAAAAACAGTATACTTTTTAGTTACACTGAAATAGATAGCAATATCAATAGCACTTAGATATATATACTGCTTCAGAGTGCTTTATAGCTCTCTCTAAGTTGTTTACAGAGTCAGCATATTGCCCCAACAATCTGGGTTCTCTTTTACCAACCTCGGAAGGCTGAGTCAATCTTGAGCCTGATAAAAATGGAACTGCCAGCACAAATAGCCTGCAGTACTGCATTCTAACCACTGTGCCACCATGGCTCATAGCATTATAGAGGCTTAAGTGCTTAGCTAAATTCTCTACATTAGATAGTTTATTACTGTACTAATTCAGTAGCAGTTCTGTTTCATAAAGCTTTAGAAAATGCTTCTGAAAATTTAAATATATAAGAGTAATAATGCATACGCCACCTTCCATATCACATATATACTGAGAATACAGTAGATACTAATAGGCTTATAAGGTCTCAGCTTAAAGTACAGAAACAAAATATAAAATACACATCCAGTTTGACAAAACAAAAGGTATCTACTATTATGTAACTGATTTCAGCTGCTCTGCAGTTAAGCGGTGGGGTTTAAGGTGTTTTAGCCATTGAGCCTAAGACATGCTCTTTTGCACTCTCTTTTGTAAAGATTTTATTCAATTAACTCCCATCCTCTGATGTGACAAAGTCATTATCATTTTGAAAAAGAATATTAAGAAATGTGAACAACATAAAATTGCTCAGAACAGAGCTCCTAGGTGCTTTTAAATTTCATTTTCATACAGCCTGTCCATTGATTCAATATTTTTATTTGATTTTTCAAAACCACTTTTTCTTTTCTTCTTCTTTTGTTTAAACCATGACAGCCAAAAATTAAGAAAAGACAAAGGATGCAAATCCAAAGCCAGTTTTTAAGGTTTATGGGGTATGCAGCCCCTTAATTTGGTCCACAAGGTACAATTACCTTAAGGACTAACACTAATGGAAAAATCTGTGGTAGCAAATATGTGATGTCACCATCATCATTTTTATTGTTATTGACAACTTGCAGCACTTTTTGAATACCACAAAATCTCTTCCTAGCCTGAAAAGTAGTAATGAGGCAAAAAGGAATGCCAAAACCACTGTCAGTAAAGGACGAACAGTATCTGTAGTGTGTGCCATGGATTGCAGATATCCACAAGAACCATCAAGATGGGAACAATGCTGGAAAATGGCCAGTGAGGTTATGCAGGTCTTTGCTAAGTCATAGTTTGGGGGGATGGGGGTGGAACTGATGCAGAGGACCATAAAATAGCTGAACTTGGAAAAGGGACCATGATGTTTAGATTAACAGTAAGAGACGGATGTTACAACAGGAAAAAGTAACAGAGGATTTGTAGAAATAATTGTGCACAAAACAGGAGATAAAGATTCAGCTCAGGTAGATGTATCTGAAGGAAATGGGACTTCCAAAATGGGTTACTGATGATAAAGATCTCCTTTACAGACAGTCAACACAGAAAGGACAGTACTACATTTATAACTATCATGTAAGCTGAAATGCTTTGATTTGATCTACTTTTGGGTAGCTCTGGCTACTTGTATAAGAATAGCTTGCCCCTAGCAGAACCAGCTAGCAATCTTGTAGCAAAGGCTTCCTCTATCCATTTCACTAAGCTTTTACTTCACAGTCAAAATCTAGTCTGAGATTCTGATATCCTTACTGAGCTCATGAGAAATCAATTTATAAATAACCGATCAATTCCAGGACAAAACATTATAAGGAATACTCATACCATACCATACCATACCAGTCTTATCTGATCTAGTTCTTAGGCTAATTGGAGATAAAAGACTGAGCAAGCAGGTATATAATATTGGTACAGCTCATTGCAAAACACCAAGAAGAACACAGAGAGCAGTCAGGCAATAGCAACAAGACAATAGATATGGGAACTAGTATACACATTAGATTTCAGAGGAATACAGATGGCACTGTAGCACTTACTGAAAATGGCCACCAAGCTAAAAATGAAAGAAAATATGAACATCTCACTGTGAAGTTATAGCCTTGCAAATAATTTTTCTATGGAAATTCATCAGATTGGGGATTCTATGATATGAAGCCTCAAGCCATCTGGAAGGCCCCTGATATGGATGGGCTGATTTACACAAACATCAATGATTCCAGTCTTCTCTCACATAATGTCTCTCCTGCTTCTGTAGAGCCACAAGGCCAAGATGCACAACAACCTGTTATATTCAAATATGAAACTACCGGACACCTTTAGAAATGTTTGAAGTAGTTTGATTCATTCATTATAGTTAACATTAACAATAGTTAATATTCATAGTAGTAAAATATACTGTGATAAACCAGTTGTGTAAAAGTGGAAGAGTTTGAATGTGCAAATCTAAGTATCTTCAATTTCAAACGTTCATGAGCCTCCTAGGTATTGGGATGGTACTTCTACTCTTGCCTCTAGGAATATCTGTGTGGGAATCCAGGCAATCTTTAATTTAAGTTTGGCCAGGAAGATTCAACAACTAGTTTTACAGTCTTCAGCAATTGCACTGATCTTTTCCTGAATTACATCTTATGGGCTAATTTAGGGTCTGCTTAGTCCTTGAAACAGAATAGTATATAACTATTCAAAATTTGGCCAAAAAAGTGAAGCACTTGCTTTATCACTGGAAGTTTACTTTGAACTTGCAGAAGTTTGGCTCAGCTCTAAAAGTGATTCAATTGTCAAAAATGTCACCAGAACCCTGTCCCTTCACAAAGAGAAACACAATCATGAGGAAGTTATTGCTGCCTTATTTCAGTACAGTAATGAAGACAAAATAATTGAATATCAGCTTTGTTCTGATCAGGAGCACTATATTAAAAAAAAAAATTCTAATCTCTAGTTGAGAAGAAAGCACCTTGAGACGTTGGCAGAGTGTACGTAGTTCTTCATTATTTAGAGCATCGATTCTGCGGAGATACTCAGCCACTGACACTACCTGAATATGGAGACACAGGAAGACAATAATTCCACTCACAGTTTTAAAACAAAAATAAACAATATAAAAGAAACAAGAGAGTGTGGAAAAGTAAAACAAGGGGTGGGGTGAAAGAAATTGACAATGAAACAAAAATAAAAGTAACATTATAGTGATACAGTGCACATATATAAAACACATATAGACATACAACAATCAGAATTTCCAATAAAATAATCAAATAAATTTGTAGAAATGAATAAAAACAATCTGCTAGGTACACATATAAGCATGCACATTCATGAACTGTTTCCTTACATAAATACCACCTGCTGCTTTTACTTAGGGAAAAATGCTAATTGATGAAAAAGAAGCAGATACGAAAACAGGCCTTGTGTAAAAGCAATTATTTAAAAAAGAGCAGAAAAAGGAAACTAAAATTATCAACTGATTGGAATAATTTCTATATGAGAAGACATTGCCGTATTTGGGTCTTTTTAACTTACTAAATGGGAAATAAGAGAGGACATAAAATCATGTGAAGTATAGATATGGTAGGTAAATCAAGCCGGACAGTATGAAATTCAGCATAAACACATCTCATTCAGTTAAATTGCAGATGAATTCCACTATGCATTAAAAGGATGGGTAGTATTGGACTAGAGAAATGTATAAAGGATAATGGCTTTCATGACTTCAGACAGGTATCTTAGTATTGCTGAAATACAGTACTAAACGTGAAAGATGTGACATTTACATCCTGGATTACGATGACCATGTTATCCATTAACAATAAGGTACTATCTTATTAATCATTGTTTATTTTTAAAAAAGCAAATGTCCTCTAGGGGAATTTATAGACAGATGCAGTTTACAAACATATTTCAGGCATCTAGAAAAATAAGGAGCAACTGTAAACAATAGCCAGTAAACATTTAATATCTGTCTTATTAAAATATGTAAACTGGAGTTTATTGTTGAAACCTGTATTATGTAAGTTGTAAAAAGAAATAAGACAGAATGAATCCAACTTCATACAACAGCATGGAGCTGGCCAGATCTAGGCCTTAATGGATTCACATATGGTGAGATGACTTTAATATGCATTTATAAATTCAAATCTGGCAAAACAGACTGTATGCATATCATTAGCAAGCAAAGTAATAATAAAACAAAAGGCCTAGGTATTAAACTAGCTCCATATTCATTCAATACTCTCCAATCGTTTATCAAAACAAATGGTCTTTTCTGTTTATCAAAACAACAATTTCTGCAGTCAACAGGCTGGAAAGGAAGGTTGAATATTTATATATTTAAGAACTTTCAGAAACTCAGACCACCGATGTAACTACATCATTTAAAGAGTCATAATTTTTTCACATTTCTAGAATAAGCAGAAGTTGTAACATTATATTGAGGTTTTCAAATTTTACCAGGCTATGGAACCTGTTTTAAAAAAGAAAAGATTCCCAGAATCTCTTTTCAAAAATAATGGTTTTCCTTTCTTTCTTTCCCTTAGTCTGACATGGAATCCTAGGGTTCTGCAGGATGCAGACAATTGAGAATTCTTTCTCTACATGGCTTTTTTAAAAAAATGCTCATTATTCTTCAATGTCTTCAGGCGTAATATATAATATCTTACAATGGACAACTTTCACACTTACCTACTATAGTTACAGAGGCGTGCACCTTTCTATCATGTTTCCACGAAAAGACAGGGTCTTATTTTCTTTTGACCCTCAAAATAAGCACTTGGCCTTATTTTTGGGGATGTCTTATTATTTTTCAGGAGGTGGCGAGTATGGTCACCTTATGGCTGCTGCTGTGTTGAAATATTTTTGGAGAGGGCTTATTTTGGGGGGAGGGCTTATTTTAGTGCATGAGCTCAAAAGCCCAATTGGGCTTATTATCCAAGAAGGTCTTATTTTGGGGAAAAACAGGCTATATAACACCATTTAATATTTATACAATATATTCTTGCTTTCAGAGTTATTTTTTTCTTTGCAGTAGAGAAAAAAGAATTTGTCTGTTCATAATAGCTGTAATGAATATACATAAAGGAAAAAAAGCCCAAGCCCAACAACCCAAAGAAAGGATCTCTGCTCATAAGATTTAGAACATCAAAACATTTTACACAAATAATCTTTTTGTAATTACAGGTAGTTCCTCAACTTATGACAATTGAGCTCAAATGCTCAATGCTAAGTAAGCCAGTTCAGTTAATTGAGCCTGGATTTTTAAAAAAATGATGCAGCAGTTCATCTTACATAGTTTTCAAATGACCACTTATGGACCATTCCAAGTTATGATGAAATGCAGAAAAGCTATTTAAGACTCAAGATTGAAAATTTCAATAGCTCCCTTGGAGTTACGTCACTTCATTTTGGGCATTTGGAAACTGGCTCATATTTACAGCTGTTTACAGCATCCCACTGTCACGTGACTGTAATTTACAATGTTTTTAGCCAGAAAGCAGTATTTACAGCAAAAAATGCCCCCAGTGAACAATGCATTTGCTTAACAACTGCTGCAAATTAGATCATAAAATCAGGTGCTCTCATATGGTGACTTACTTAATGACCATCACAACTTATGAAATATACTCAGAGGTAGCAGCAAAGAGATACAATTTCCTATTTTCCATTAAAGCAAAACTATTTTCTGATTAGTATAAATTACTTCAGAATATAACACTGTGATGTACACACCACATAATCATTTTGTTAAATGTGGTATTTATGGCTATTATATTGTATTATATGTTATAATGATATGGCAACGAGGACTGCTTTTATGTAAAAAAACCACACACACATTTGCCCCACAGTATGCTAAATGAGGGATTTTTTTTGCAAATTTTAGCCAGTTTTATAATAATGTTATGGACTTCATTTGCAAGAGTGCTTTGTCGTTTTCCAGATAATGCTGTAATAGCAATATTTTACTTTCAGTGAGTAAAGTCTTAAAATCAGCTAAGGCATTAGCACATAAAGTATCCTAAATAGTAAAATCATACGGTATGGAAATAAAAATTAATACCCTGGTAGCCTATAGAACTGCCAGTATTTTGAAGCAGTATGTTGACCACTATAAGCTGCAAGAAGATTCAGATTCAAGTTTGGTTTGTCAGGGCTCAGTTTGAATTCACAAAACTGCAGTGGTGAGAAAATAAAGAACCCGACATGAATAAACTGGCGAGTGCTGGCTGATTTCTTAAACCAATTATGGTATCCATACCATTTCTGGATACAAAATCAGGCCTAGACTTGTCTAGCTGGCTCTGCTTCCTGACACATGGAGCATTGAAATGGACACACTTCCCAGCATCACAAAGTTGCAGCTATTTTAAAAGCAGGAAGAACCACTGGACCAGCCCTCCATTTTCATTTTCCACCTGGCTCCTTCCCATTTCCTTCAGATACATCTACCTCCTTCTTTCTGCTAGGTGCGCTTCTGATGATGTTTTGCACTCTCTCTCTATCCTGTATATATAAAATGGCAACTGAAGCCACTCTTGAAAAACCAGTAATTCTCACTTCTGCCAGATCACTCAAAACGTTACAGGGAAAGATGCAGATACAGCAGAAAGAGGTGGCAGTGTTTGATGTGGCAAAATGTGTGATATGGTGGTATCTTACTTATTAGTTAGTTATTTTGCACTAGCTGGGAGTGCACTAAGACACTCCAGGAATCCTCTTAACAGCACTTCCTCTCTTTCATTGATTTAATGTTCTTTTCTTCCACAGTTTACATATCATTACAAATAGCCATTATATAATTTTTCTGGCAAACAAGCATGGGGCAGAGATTCTTGTAACATTTTATCTAAATATAAGCTCATGCCAAGTAGTATATCTTACAAAATTTAGTGAGTTATATGCCCTTGAAAGCAGAAGCGTTAGTAGACTTCTATAATAATTATAACAGTAGTAATAATTTTGTCTAATTTAATATCTTTTTTATTTCAAATATATCCAAAATTTAATTTAAATTACTATCATGGCAGGTACATTCAACTAAATAAATTATTACAGTCCAACATATACAATTTCAATTGCTCTTTACTGTCCTAAAAGATTCTATATTTTCTTCTATTGGAGACTTTATAATGCAATTTGGGAAGTTAAATCAATTTTAACTTTACATATTTACAGTTTAAGAACTTACCAGACTAATTTTATAAAACTGAGATGAGGTTTTCGATCTTAATCTGCTATATGAAAAATATGTACAATAGCAACTTAAAAAGCCACATTCATGTGTGTAATTATTGCATAAGCAGTATATAATGCCAACAATCCTGTTAATCAGTGGTTATTCTAAACATGTTTTTTAAAGCTTTTATTTCAAACTGGAATAAATGCTTTCTGTATTAGTAAACAGTCCTTGAAGGTACTTCTGCAAGATATTTTAGCTAAAACAAGTCTTTTGCATTTAGTGAGTTAAATCAGTTATTTTATAATATAAGAAATCACTGATTTTATAATATAACTGATAGTGGTATTCATCTGCCATCAGTAAAGAAGAAATATTTATTTTGCAACATACATAATGGATAAGTTCCTCAGTAAACAACATATAGCCATTTCTAGTTTTTATCACCCTATTCCTCTAACTTTTAAAACAGTTATCTTATCCTATTTACAGTTCATATGATGCTTTAAAAAGAAGAATAAAACATACATGGTAAGGCCTGAAAAAATACCCAGGAAACCTTCAGCTCATTGATATTTCTTTTCTTATATAACAAAATGAGAAAAAAACTAAACTTTTTCAATTAATACTGAGAAACTGAAAAACACATATTTCTAGTTAACATAAATAGATCTATTTGACATAGTTTCAGAGGCTATATGTCATACAGGGATTTTGCAATACTAATAAAAAAATATAGTACTGTACAATAAAGTACTGTTTATAACTTTATTTCCATTCACTCTCAGGTCTTCCTGGTGCTCTGCTCCCCCCAGCAGCCCCCAAATGCCTTGACCATGCTCCAAAGAGTGCCCCACCCTTTCAGA